AAACAAAAGAACTTAAGATTTGAAATGGAAATAAAGAGATTTGAAACTTAAAACTCTGAGAAAGTGAGAAATGTATGGAGCTAAGTTAGAGCCATAAAGTTTGTTTTAAAAAAAAAAAAGTTCTGAAACAAAAAAAGCCTTCTGATAAAAAACACACACAAACATACGCCTCACAAATATCAGTGGAATTTTTATTTTCATTTGAACAAACTTTATGGCCTCAATTTAGCTCCATAAGTTCTGCCCTTGATTGATTTTGGGCTCTATATTAAAACATTAGGAAGTCGATCTGACCTTCCACTTGACGACGTCAGCATTGACCTCGCTGAAGACAAAGGGTACGTCATATTTCAGGTTGGTGTGGCCGTCATGGATGGCGCTCACCGGAGCTGGACCGCAGCAGAACATGCCTGAGGCAAACAGATCCAACTTTAGCAACCTTCAGAAAAGCAAACTTCACTAGAGGGGAAGAACAAGGACAGTTTACCTTCACTCCTTTCCTGAGGAGTTGGATCCAAGACCTGCCAGCCGTCGTAGCGGCCATCTTGGTCGAGGTCGGGGCGCTTCATCCAACCCTCCACCCACACATGGAAGTTCCTGCTCGGCATTAAGAAATGGCAAAGCTCCTAACAATCCTACAAGGACTAATGGTGATTTATTGGTGTAAATCTAATTTATAGGATTGGTTTCTTCAAGACTAAAACTTCAAAACTCTGGAACAAAGGAACCAAGGACTGTGTCATAGTTGCTAAAAATTTGAGTTTATTGTTCATTTGGAAGCTTGGTTGAGCATTCGTCTTACCAGATACTGTCTTCTTTTCCCATTTTTTTTAATCCATACTCGTCAAAATATTGGTCAATCGTGAGGCTGTTGTTTGTGTCATGACCAGACTCAAAATTTGTCACAACGCGGCACGGTATGCCGAAGAACCGCATCACTGCAATCGGAACAACAGACGGCATTTAAATTGGCTTTACACAATGGCAACACGAGTAGAAACTGAAATAAAGGTACGTCACCTGTGCACATCACGCCAGCAAACACCCAGCACTGTCCGTACTTCACCGCCTTGCAGTCGCTCTGAAACCAGCGCTGCAGGATGCTAACGCTGCTGGTCCATCTGGTTGGACAAACACCATCGTGGTAGTTGCCATCCCAACATCCTTGTAAAACACCCATGTCGTCATAGCAGTTGATCTGGAGAAATGTTAAACCATATTAAGGTTTAAATTAAATCAAACCTTTTGAGAAAGTTTAGCCTCACCATAGCACTGATGACACGGCCAACATAGATGGGGTTGCAGCGAGCTGAAACATCATCTTCAGGGTCTCTCTTGTGTTTTGGGTTGACATCCAGTAGCTTGAGGCAAATATCCACCATTTCTTCTTCAAACTGCAAGAAACAGAATGCGGGACGTATGAGTACCAACATGTTGTTTGATGGTCGTTGCTTCTGAGTGTTCAACCACATCTTAGATGTTTATAAAGGCAATTAGTGAAAGCATCCGAGTCAGCTGGTTTGTTTTATCTACATAAACCAAACCAAAAAGCTTTGGTGTTTTCCAAGCAGTTAAACAAAGATTGCAATGATTCTGTAGACAGATTTATAAATGAATAGCGAACAGAAATTTGGTAAACATGGATTTTGTAAGTGTACCTAAAGCAAGATGGACTCCAGGATAGACCTTTGAGGAACTCCACTCACAAGTATAGCTACGGCCAATAAACGTGTTTGTTGCTTTCTACTGAATGTACAATAAATATGATGGATGGATGGATGGATTCTTGTAAAACCTCACCTGTCCAAAGTCCCAGAACATTGGACTAAAGCAGTGGGCCGTCCCTCTGTAGATGTGTCCTTGTTCATTCATCACATATTCCTGACGTTCCTTTTCATCAGGCAGGTACACCCAGTCATCTGCAAACCAACACAAAGATCTTGTCAATGAATCAACCAACATGGGCTTCTTCAACGTTTTTCCCGTTGGGGAATGTTGTTGGGCAGTTTCTGCCCATCTCTGTCTTTGGCTGGTTTGTCTGGAAAGTTTCTCTTGGGTCAGTACTCACTCTGACACCAGGGGTTGAAAAGCACCACCAGGCTTTCCTTCACAGCCGACGGCCTCCCCAGCTCTATGGACAGAGAGTATTTCCCCACTGGAGCATCAGCTGGAGGGGTCACATTGAGGGTCACACAGCCCGTCTGCAGGGAGGACGTGGCGTTGATGCTGCAGCTCCAGAGAGCTTTAGTGCCCACATCACACGTCGCTACTCTGGTACCAAAAGTGCACTTGGTCCCTCTGCTTGGTTTTGGAAAACGACCTTTGGAGATAATTATTTCAGTACATAAGTGACATTAATTTATATTTCATTAGATTCCTGATTTCTATTGACCCTTTGCAGCTACCTCACATAATCATTCAAATTGTTTTCCAAAACTGTTTTTGCCAGTTTATTCATGGCTTCTATTTGTTCGAGTTGAGCTAATTTGTGAACGTAACTCACCTGGTTGGGGCTCATAGTCGACGGTATTTACAAAAGTTGGAAATAGCTAGCTTAGAAACCGACCCGTACCTCCTTCCTCCTGACGTGTTAATAAATTACAGACTTTATCTGAATTCACAGCACGGGATTTATATTAATATGTCATAAACAGTTTTCCCTTTACACCGGAGCAGCCTTGAAAACATACAAAAGACGAAATGCTAACCAGTTTTTTTCATATATGCTAGGCTACATGACGGCGCGGCAGTGTTTCCATGGTTACCAACGGTTAGACGCCTACCTTCTACTTAATCTGATATTTGACATATTTCTAATCATACTTACTTATAAAGGATATGAATATTAATTTTACCTTATAAAACGTGTTCGCTGCCAATCCGCGGTTACACAGAGAGCTCCCAGTCGTCGTTCTGTTTGACAGCTTCTATCCATCGCATCTTTCCTCATTAAAAGTTATAAAATAAAATGACAAGTTTGGTTTGGATCCTTGTCTGTTTGTGCAAACGACAGCGCAGCATGCTATGACCATTTTCAAAGTGAAATCAACTAAATAGAAGCGATATATTAGATTATAGATGTCTGTTTTTAGATTAGCTTAAAGGAGCTTGTTGGTTGATTTGACGTCCGTCATGGCGGAATGGTCGGAGTTCCGGATAGCGTGACGTCACGTGCAAAGGGCCAATAAGGAAGGACAGAAATGATGAAATTGCTGGTAATTTGGCTGGTAAATGTATTTCTATGTAGCTCTCCAAGCTGTGCAAGCTCTCTGAATTCTTTTTTCCAAAAACAGAATTCAGAAACTGATTCAAAGCCAGGTTAAAAGTGTGGCACCTGTTTCCACCGTCAGTTTAAGTGACTCTGATGTGCTGAAAGCGAAGTCCAGCTCCAGTGTGATGCTGAAAGGCTGCCCTCGTCTCACAATTAGTTGGCTGGTAGAGATTTCATGGGTGTTATGGGCAACATTGTTGGCATGGCAGTGGAGGTCCACTTTCTTGATTGCTGGAGAAACACAACAGAAAGGATAAATTAGTGGTTATATAATATAAAAGTGGGCCCAAAGCTAAACAGACTCAAACAGAAAAGGACGACTGGACAATAACTCTGGTGATTTTATAATTAATTCAGATAAAGTGTGTTTGATGGATGAAAGATATACATTCTGGATGAATTCTGAGATTAAAGTCAGAATTAATTTTGGTCTTAATCATCTTCCGTAGAAGCAGATTTATTAGGAATGTTGTTCTTGTTGAAAGCAAACAGAGTTGCTCCTTCAGTTTCAGATCAGATTAAAATAAATCCTTTCATATTGAAAAAAGGAAGAGATGTAGTGATATTCATAAGAAAAACTGTGACCCATTCAATAAATCAGAATATCATTTTAAAAATCCCTTCTATTCATTGAGAGAAGATCATTATATAGATTAATTCCACACAGACTGTTTTTTCTAACCTCTATTTCTGTTAGTTATCATTATTTTCTACCTACAGCTAATGAAAACATAATATTTAGAATTAGAATATTACATCAGACCAATAAGAAACTTTAAAAACAGAATGTTGGCTTAAAGTGAAATATGATTAATACCTGCTGTAATAGAACATTTCATTTTTAGCCTTATTTCATCTTTGATGGAACTACTTTTTACCATTTAATTAGTGATTAATCTGCTGTGTTTTTGTAATTTCTGCAAGATGTGTTTTTCCATTAAAGAAATTTCCAGATATTGTTTAGATGTTTCCGCCGTTGTGATAGCAGAAGAGACCTGAAGACATCTTGGGTAAAATGCTTAATCTGGCAATGGTCTTAAAGGACTGACAGGTGGAATGTAGTTTGTACCCTGCTTTGACCCTGAACCTATGAATAACTGACAAAGAAGAATTAGGAGTTTCTCCTGTAATCCTTATCTGCTCTCTTCCCTGCCATAAAATCGTCCCTCCACGAGGTGAGGGATGGTTCATGAGTTGGGGGTCAGATTGTCTCTGTGGTCCATCTGGCAGTAGAGATAAGATCAGACTTTGGGAGGGTCTTTGTCTTGATGTGACTATATAACGATGTGATGTGTGTCGTTCTGGGCTTTTCTCCTGACTGCGATCAGTGAGACGGGTCTTCAAACGCTTTTGCCTTCGAATAAAGAAGCTTAAAGAGAAAGATTAATCTTTCTCTACTTATTGAAACAGATTCTCATTCCTTAATAAAAAATTCGATAACGCTGCTTAAAGGTTATTTTCAAATGGTACAATGACAACCAAGACTCATCTGGATGCATACTGTCATTTATCGAATGTAACTCTAGTTACAAAACAAGATGCTGAGAGAACTGACCTTCAAAGCAGGAAAACCACATTACACACACACATACACACACACACACACCCACACACACACACACACACACACAACTAAAATAAAGATAAAACATAAACCATAAATTAAGTCATGAGATTTTAGAAACCAGAGTTCACAGTCACAAGACGTCAACACAAGAAAAAACAATCTAAATTAAAGTTCAATGCTGAATTAAAGGACATACAAGCTTTTAATTTGTAAAAAAAAAAATCTGTTTTTATGTCAGGGAGAAACTTACTTATCTGACAGTCTGTACAGTAGAAGGATTTATTTTAAATATCAGTTTTAAACTGGGACAGGAAAACAACCTGTATATAAAATGTATGCTGTGAAATAAAAAGTTTGATTATAGGAAATACAAAAATGTACACAATATTTTTAAAGTTTGAATAGAACTGAAAACAAGAAAACAATATTTTAAAACAGGTTAATATAAGAGAGTTAGTTATTTTTGTTTAAATGTTTCACTTGCTTTTATTTAAGACCATTTTGACATTATTCGGCTTCCGTATTTTGTATTCAATGTAAATAATGGACTATAATTTGAAATATTTAAGAGTTAAACAACAACAGAGTAAAATAAGCTAAAAAGTACACAATCAGAGTTATGTTTTACTTTAAAAATAATAAATGAACATTTCTATGTGTAGCTTTAGCTCACCGTTAGCCACGCTGCACATCTTGTCCGTTGGTTCTGGAGGCTCTGAATTCGGAGAGTGAAGACGTTCTGCAGCCGCCTGGGCTTTAAAGGCGCTCTGAACACTTCCTCCATCAGATAACGACTCTGGTCCAGCAGCTCATTGCAGGTAAAAATATGTCAAACTATTTGAAACATGTGGTAAAGCAGCAGCAGGTCATAGTTCAGTGAACTCGATAAATGTGCTGCTATTCTAATCAGATGGAGGAACCAGCAGGCGGATCAACCACTGAGGACGACCTGCAGAATTTACCTGACAGGTTCTGAAATATTCTCATGACAAAAGACAATGTTCTGTCACCGACTGATGGTAATCTGATCTCTTCAGTCTGTTTCATTTCACATAACAATAAAAGGCAAAGCTGCACTGCAAAACCAAAATCTTACCAAATATTTTTGTCTGGCATTTAGAGCAAATATCTTCCTACACTTAAAATAAAACAAAACTAACTTAGAAGTAAGTCTTCAGCAACATACAGGATCCTATTTTCAGTAAATAAATGTTTTAATAGTGTGACAACAGGACGGGTTTCGGGTCAAATCCTTTAAAAACTCAGAGTGAAATCGTCACTTTTAAAAAACTCACACTTGTAAATATAATTTAACAGAAAAATACCTGCAGCATTTTTAATGAAAACTGCTGAGAAAGTTTCAAGTGAAAATGGAGAACCGGGTCAGGAAGCGTCACTGCAGGGTTTCCTCCAGAAAACCTGCTGAAGCTGGTGGTAGGGGTCACTGAGGCCGTCCATCAGTGCCTGGGTTTGGACCTTGGCTGGCATGATGCTGCCATCACCTAACCGTTCCCCCTCTGAAGCTTTTCACTTCCATGAACGTAGAAAGTTCTCCTGGGTCAGCTGACCTGTTGTGTCTCTGCTCTGTTTTCTCTCAGCTCTAGTCGATCGTGGCAGATTTCTGCTGGTTCTGAACCTGGTTCTGGTTCTGCTGCAGGTTTCTTCCTGTTAGAGGGGAGTTCTTCCTCCACAGTCGCTACATGCATGATCGTTATGAGGGGTTGCTGTAAAGTCAACGACCCAACACAAGCTGTCGCAGGAGTGACTACTGCATGAAATCTGGTACAAACATTTTGAACTGATTCCATAATAAACTTATTTATTGATAACTCGGATCAACTGGAATCTGTGACTGAACTGAAAAGACTTTCTGTAAAATGCTTTGACAACATTGTTGTGAATTAACATTATAAATACAAATTAACTGAATAACTCTGTTATTTTACTGCTTGATTTGAGGTTTGGTTGTGGGTTTGGTGCTTAATTATGTTTTTGTTTTAGCTGTTGGCGTTTCTGTTCTCTGTATAACTGCTCTCATCTGTTTGCAGCCATTTTCACCTTGTTTGTATGTTTTCTGTATTTATAATGTTAATGGCTGTAAACATGGAGTTGGGGGCGTCGCTAGCAGCAGCTCATTTGGATTTAAAGTGACAGAGGCCCTAAAAAAGCTCATTCTGATGCTTATTTCATTGTTTTCTCTAACCATAAGCTTCACATATGTAAAAATCTAGTTTATTTTCATCTTTAAACTTGTAACATGTCACGTCAACATGTCCTGTGTCTTTAGAGAGAATCTGATCACTTTCTCATCAGATCATCTCTGGTCCAGCAGCTTAATGCAGCTAAACAATATAAACTATGTGAAGCATCTGGTGAAGCTGCAGCTGATAAATGTGCTGATGGATTGTTCTATACGTTGACTGTATACATTTTATCAGACGTTTTCTTCCTCTGCAGGCGCCATCAGGTACATGGATCACTAACTGGGAATTATGTGCAGTATTTACTGTTCAGATATATTTACAATACATGAAGATAGCTTAGAGCATTCTGATTTTCACTCATCTTTCATTAGTTGATAACAATCTGATCTCTAAAGGCTAATTAACTCTTAACTTTCTCCCCAAACTGTTACGCTTATTTTATGTTACAATATAAAGTAAGCCATGTGAGCGGTGGGAATGTTGATAAATTCGACTAGACATAATATTCTGACTTTGTCTTTACAGCTTTACACATTGCATAAGGATATTTAGATACAAATGCTGGTGATTTGATTTACGGTGCCTGACTGTACAGACACGTCTCTTCCTCCCAATCTGAGAGTGGGTTGATGCAGTGCATTGTAGGATTGATAGTTTTTAAATGAGTCTCATTATTCTCTGTAGTTCAGAAGTGAGTGGAAATGAACAAACCACAATAACGTAAGAAGAGAGGTGCAGAAAAGCTGTGAGAAAAGACATAGAAAGCATCATGAAAGCATCCTAAAGGTACTGATATGTTTGTCACCACAAGTTCTACTGCAAAAAACTACAGTTTTGTGAACAAATGTGTAAGAATTGTTTTTATAGCAAATAAATAATAAAATAAAAGTAGACTCTGTGTCCAACTAAGTGTCATTTAGTGATGAAGTTACAGTTTGCAGCTGTTGCTATCAAGTAATATCTTCAAAAAGTCAAAGTGCATATCAGTTTTCAACATGATTACTCTCTTCCTTGTAGGCTGCCGTGTTTTATGTTAACCTTTGAAACACAACTTGCAGAGATATTCTCTCCTACGTCGTGTACCTTCACATGTTATATAAATAATCATGGTGGGTAAAAACACTGCAGTTTGGTTCCAGTGCAGACTGGAGATATTAGAGACACACTCAGAGTGAACCCGCTCTGAAATGTTTTAATCTCCAAAATCGATTGGATCTTGTGATTCGATGACAAGCGACACATTACCAGATTTCACTGACAATGTGAGCAAAACACAACATGATTGTTTTCAGATTAAACCCATAGATAATCTGATGCTGTTCAATTTCAGGAGACGTGACAGGGTGACGATTTGACAAGATTATCAGATTGCATGTAACAAATTGCAACATTTCTTAAATTTTCAGTTGGAGGAGTAAAATAAATTAAAAATACAGAATTACATCGTCAGCATATAGAGTTATTCCTCAGGTTTCTCCAGTATTCATACTGCTCTGTTCTCAGGTTTCTGTGTTTTGGGGTGTTTTAACACGTTCACCCCGTACATTTTGACTGGTTGCTCAAAGGGTTTGGTTCGTTTGACACAGTCTCAACATGTAAGCAACAATAAAGAAGGTTCAGATTTCCTCCAAATACTACTAAAAGTACATTCTTTCAAAAAACTTAATCAACTGTTTCACCTGGACACCATCACCAACACCACAGTAAAAGTGTGAGCACTTTTATTGATAAATTGGTTGTTTTAATCTAATTTTTGTGCACATCTGCGAGCAGTTCACGGACGTCAGAGTAGGGGGCGCCACTTCTTAATATTTTGGCCCGCAGGAGCGGTTTGATGAGGTGAGGGGGCACGCCGCGCCTGAGGGCGTCTTTCACCACGGGGCTGTTCATCATCATGGCCTCCTCCAGCTGGTTGGTCTCCATGGGGATCTCCTGGTCCATCGATGACGGGAGGCCATCTTGTTCAAACAGGTCTGCCACCAAATCCTTCAAGTCTGTGTAGTTTGATCCGATGGTTTGAAGCCTTTTCTGGACTCTCCTGAGGACGAGGTGCCGAGGCAGGTCCATTCTCAGCGCTTCACGGACTATCAGGGAGTTTTCTGGAAACGTCCTGGGCGACACGTTGGGGAAGATTACGTCTTGGTTTCAGTGAATTTCAGCTGCTCGACATAAACCTGTTGGGGTTTGTGTTTTTCCTACCGATGTGTGCTTTCTAAAGAGTCACAGCTCTTTCCAAAATGGACATTGGAGGTTTGGCTTGCATCCTGTATGTGAGGAAACAAATACCCTCCAACAGCAAAATTCAAACAAATGGTTTTGAGCTGACATGATGTGGAGTTTCCTCACCATTAAACGGATGCACATCAACGCTTGGGTCAGCTGGGAGGATTTTGGCAAAGGGCCTTGAGAGTTTGGTTGCATTGAGATAGACGAACTAAAAGAGAAAACCTGCAGATTATGTTGAAATAAATCAACAAAGAATGATCAAAAATACACAATTATATCATCAGCATAGAGGTAATTCATGAATCCCTCTAGTTTCTCGAGTATTTATACCACTCAGCTTTCAGGTGTGCACACTGCAAAAAACACAAATCAAAGTAGTGTTGGTCAAGTTTCTATTGCAAATATCTTAGTACACTTGAAACTAACTTAAAAGAAACTTTTTAGCAAGATATAGGAGATTGTTTTCAGTCAGTAATTCTTCAATATTGATAAAATTGATTATTTCTCCTGGCAGATTATTTCACTTATAACCTGACATTTTCCCATGTTATAAGTGAAGTAACACGGGAAAACATTAATATGCAGTTTTCATCAATATTAAGGAATTATTGACTTACAAAAAATTGTTATATCTTGCTAAAATGTTAATTGTAAGTTAGTTTTATTTCAAATTTGCTGTAGAAACTGGACCAATAACACAGTGTGTGTTTTCACATCTGATTGTAGACTCAGTTTAATTAGAGACCAAAACCGTTACATTTGTTAAATTTTCAGCTGATGTGTAAAACCAACCAACCAAACTAATTGAAAAACCTGTTCCCCTCCTCGCCTAAGGGGGCGCTGCACCAAAAACCACAGAAGAAAATGACACGAAAACCTGTGAAGAAGACACTGAGCGGAACTTCCTTCTTTATTACATGTGAACAAAAATGGAATAGCGACAGATTTAGTGACTCATTTCCAAGCGCTAGTTCGCATTTGTTTTGGTTGCTTTTACCCAGAATGCCCTGCGCTATAGTAAACTTCCGGTTAGTGGCTCTTGATCCACAAGCTCCACTTTCTACTCTCGTTTGTCTTGAATAGAAAGTTAAATTTGGTTAAATGTTGTTTTTCACGTTTAAAATAGTAAATAATGAAAAATTTTGAAAAATAATGTTCTTCCCCTGTGATGTCACTGACCAAATATGGCAGCAGGTCAGAAGGTTTTCAATACTGAGCACAACATTTGAGATATGTTTAAACATATATTTTACTGTTTACATTTATTCTTTTTTGTTTTGGAGGTGGAGTTATTTTCAAC